ATGGACCCCACTCGGTGGCGGCGCCTCCCGGGCAGCCCCCGACGCGCTTCGAGCGCCAAACAAGGGGGTCTAGCGCAGATCCAAGTCATCCGCGCGGACCCTCGAAACTGGATAATTATGTTTTGATACCAACTTCTTCAAAGTAAGAGAGGAGGGTCAGGACGACGGTTCCGGGCAGAGGACTTTGGGAGGGCCCCGAGAGGTGCCCTGACGGGCGGCCAAGGGTGTCTGGGGTGGGGGGGGTTCTCCAAGGTGGCCTGCAGGCCCAAGAGTTTGAGGCGAGGCCAGGCATCGACATGCGTCCCGAAGGACGGCCTCACAAGACAGCACGGCAGTTGGGCCAGAGCCTGGGATGCCCTTTGGGTCCCTGTGTGGCTCATGGGCGTGAAAGCTCTCATAACTAGAACCAAGAAAACTCGAAAAGACACATAGTCTGCAAGAGGCCGGTCAAACGCCAACGCATATGTGTCAGCATGCATACGGAGAAGCGGAAGAGTGGAAGACACAAAACAAAGTGAGGTGCACGAGTCACCTGGAGGCAAACGATTTCTGGAAGGCTTGCCTGGCAACGAATGCTGATGTCCTTGCTGTTCCCTTCATGGACTGCCGACGATTGTGAATGCTTGATTGTGGTTGTCTGGAGAACCACAACTTCAGGTCCGTCACTGTCCAAATCAGAATTCACGCCATCGTCTTCCATAAACCATTCCATGTCTGATACAACGCTTGTCCACCAAATCCATACAGTCGTACTTGAGAGCCACGTCGTGCCGGAATCCACATGCCAATGTGCACCGGCCTTTGCATTCAAGTATGATAGGCGACCCTGTCAGATTCTTCCAAGCGCGCTGGACTGCGGCAACGAGCTGGTATGTTCAAACCGTTGTAGTTTGCGCTGAGGTGATGAATACCCTATGCCATCTAAGCAATCGTCTACTTCTGCAGGTGCCCAAGCATGCCCGAGAAATGTTGTGATGCCCGAGAAATGTTGTGATGTTATGGCGGTTAAAGGTGCGCATGATTCGGGGAGGTGATGTGCAGCGTTCCCAGGGAAGGGGCAGCAGCGGCGGCAGGAGGGCGGGTGGTGGGATGCAACTCCTGGGAGGTATTCGTGGAAACGGTAAGAGGCTAGCACGTCCAACCCAAAATTCAGCTGGAAAAATGTGGATTTGGATGAGCGGCGCTACACTGGACTAGGACGATTTATTTACAAACGATACTTCCAGCGTCGATGCTGAATTGTTGACGCTTCGCGAATCCCCACCAGCCCATCCTAAAACAGCCGTTCTGTGAATAAGCATCGCTGATTGGTATTCGTCGGTCACCTTGGGGGGGAGAGGGAGACAGGTGTTTGGGCAGAATGGTTGAGGCGATCACGGTGCCCTGTAGGATGGCCTGTAGGATGGCCTCAGAAGGCGAACTGTTCCTCCGTGTTGTCCTCTCCTCTTCTCCTCCTTCTCCCTTGTCAGCCTGTTCCTCCTCATTCTGCTTTTCGTCATCGTCCTCATCCTCCTGATCATCCTCGTTCTTCTTTGGCTCCTCCTCCTCCTCCTCTCCCTTATTCTCTGCATTTCTCTTTCCTCTTGTTTTTCCTTTTTCTCCTGGCTCTTCTCCTCGTCTTTCTCTTCTCTTCCTCCTCCGTATTCTTTCCTTGTCGTCGTGTTCACTGTTTGTGAGCCTCTTGGCGCGTGAGGAGGATCACCAGGAATGCACGAGGAATTCGTACGCTTGTGAACGTTCGGGGTGCGTGCGTGCCATCTGTGTTGCCTATGACCGTTCGGAAAAATCTGCGCTATTACATGATGTCACGATGGTTGTTGCAAGCTCGTACGCAACTCTTCACCAACGCGAACTGTCTTGGATCTCGCCTGTGGCATCCGTGCCAAATCTCTATGGTCGGGGTCGTGGCTTGAAATATCCAATTGCGCTGCCGCACATATCCGCCACCGCGCTAGTGGAAGCGGCGAAGTGAGGCAGGTGCGTGGCAGGGGGGGATTGGAACTCTGGGTGGTTAGCTTGTACGAAATGATAACCTATCGAACCTGAGGCGAAAAATGAAAGGTTGTGGTTTGTTCGGGCTTTCTTGATGTTGTTCGGGGGGGTGTTTGGGGGCCTTTATGGGGCGAACTTCTAGTGTTCGGCGTGTCTGGCCAATTTGGCTGGAAGGCATGTCAGAGGCGTCATGGATGTTGGTTGGATGCTCGTGGTTGGCCGCTTTGGGGCCTGAGGGAGGTAAGTTCGATGCCTCGTGACGCCTCTTGGAGGCGATTGGAATCTCCTTGGGGGCATTTTGAGGCGTCGTGGGGAATTAGGTGGGGGTCCCTTACGTCTTAACAACGACAGGTTAGGAAGCCGACGTAACCAGAGAAGAGAGATAACGAGGAGGCGAAACACAGGATCAGCAAATTGTCACGAGGGGGAGGAGGAGGAGGAGGATGTCGGGGAAGCGAAAAGAAACAACCAAAAAAAAATGAGGAGGCGGCGGAGGAGGCGGAGGAGGAGCATGAGCAGGAGCAGGAGGCTGATAAAGAGGAAGGGAAGGAAGAGTATTATAATCGGCGGACAAGGATGATGATGAGGAGCCAGAGGGAGGGAGGAGGCGAATACCAGGATTTGCAAATGGACCAGAGGGGGAGGATGATGATGTTAGGGCAGGAGAACAGAAAAAAAGAGGATGATGAGGAGGCGGCGGAGGAGAAGACGGAACAGGAGCAGGAGCTGGAGCAGGAGGCTGACAAGGAGGAGGGGAAGGAGGAGTATTATAGTAGGCGGACAGGGATGGTGATAAGGAGGAGAAGGAAGAGAAGGAGGAGGAGGAGGAGCAGGAAACATGACGAACATAAGAGTATCTGGGATGTCTCTTCGGAGTTGTCGTGGAAGCTTCTTGAAACGTCTGGGAGCTTCTTAGGAACCTCAGAGAGACTCTTGAGGCTTCTTGGGGGCCTCTTGGGAAACTATTTGGGGCGTCTTGGACGCCTCTTGGGCCCGTCTGGGCTCCTTTGGTGGCCTTGTCGGGGCGTTCTTGGAAGCTTTAGGGGTTCTCTTGGGGCCATCTTGCATGATGTCGGTCAACGAAGGGTGGGTCCTTAATTACGGCCCCCCTCAGGAGCACCAGAAATCGCCTCCTGGACTCATCTTGGAGCGTTCTTCGAGCGCTCTTGGGCGCTCTTGGGGCCGTCTTGGGTCCCTCTTGGGCCCCTCTTGGGGCCATTCTGGGCCATCTTGGAGCCATCTTGAAGCCTCGGATGGCCATCGGAAGCGAAAGGGTGAGAAAGCAACAAAACATTGATCTCCTTAGGTTTTGGGACGACTTTTGGCTTCGTCGGGGCCTCGTTGGGGAGCTCTTTTGGCCACTTGGAACGATCTTGGGGCGGTCTTGGAGCGTCTTGGAGCATCGTGGGAGCTATGTCGAGGCATCGTGCGCTATCTTGAGCCATCTTGGAGGCTATCTTGGGCTCGCTGTGGCCCTCTTGGAGCCAACTTGGGCGAAAAGGTAGGCGCTGACACCTCGTCCAGGTCCATGGGGAGGGGGTAGGGTGAGGGGTAAGCCCCATCCCCGAAGGGGAAGAGTGAGGGTTGGAAGCGGAAACGCCCTGAACCACCGACGCCCAGAGGGCTGGTGTGATACAAGATGACATGAGCGGGGGAAGGTTGACGCGGGGTATGGCGACCCCAATCGCTTGGGCGTGGCTTAATGGGGGGGTCACAAATGGGGGGGTCAGGAAAGGTCCCCTTTCGTGCCCCTTTCGGGCCCCTCCAGAGCCCCAGGGGGCTCGTTTAGGTACCGTTTGGGTACCTTTTCGGACCACGCTCGCCACCCCCCCATTTATGACCCCCCCATTACGCAGCGCCCAAATCGCAGACTCTAAAGGCTTTCCGGCGGGACCAACACAAATATGGGCCCCACTCGGAGACAGACGATGGGAGGCGCCCATCTTCGATGGGGGTCCGTCCAACTAGCCCCCCGGGGGTGTATCCAATCCCTGAATGCTCTTCCTCTGCTGGGCGGTCTGGTTTTTCGGGCAAGCTCGGGGACTGGGGGACAAACCCCGTCTGCGAGTGGCACCCGATCGGGGGAGGGGACACTGGGCGGGACGGGTGGCGAAGGGGGCGGGCGTGGAGCGGGGACGGCGAGGGTCTGAAGTAGGAGGAGGGCATCGGGCCTGCCCGAGCCCGTGCAAAAGCCGAGGGATCAGCGCGTGCGCCCCCCTTCTGGAGCGGCTGGGAGACATGTGCCTAGGGCCGGGACTGCTCCGGCCTGGAGCTGCGCAGGTGTATAGTTGGCGTCCTTGGACAGGCGAAGGGACGGAGGGAAGAGAGGCACACACACACACACAAACAAACACACACACACACACTTTTTGGCGTCGCGGCCCTGCGCGCGGCGACAGGGCGGAGGTCGTAAAGCAGCGAAGCGCGACTAGGAACGCCCGAGCCCTCAGAGACTCACGCACCCCCCCACACACATAGACTCAAACTCGCACACACACACACACACACTGATCCTCCGACGCGCTGAAGAGACCAGTCAGCTGTTTACAAGCTCAGGCCAGGACGCGATCAAAACAGTAAGCTTCCTCATGAAGCAACGTCATATGACCAGCATCAAGCCCAAGCCTATCTCCGAGATTAACAAGCCCACGGCGACGAGAGGATATGATGATGTGAATCATATGGGTCATGACAAGCTTCACCGCGCTAGAAATCCCGCCGACGCGGTCTTTTTCGCCCACGATAAACACTCTACTCTGGTCCCGTTTGGGGCCAGGGACGCACTAAACTGGGTCAGGGCTGACGTTGGTCAGCAGGTCGGTCAAAGTCCCGAACTCGAACCAGCCGCGAAGCAACTCCCAAGCCTGGGACAGCGGAGGGCGGAACGGGGGGATCGGCTTCACGTGGCTCAGAAGCCCAGGACAACCAGAAGGGATTGGCTGACCCACCTTAAGCGCTGACCCGCGTTAAGCGTCTTCTCGGATGGAACGGTCCTGGCACCCCCAGGACGCTCTCGACGTGACGCAGCTGATGGAAACCACCCTCCCGAAATCCTCCGCGAACTCCCGATACCTGTGCAAACCCGTGCGGACACCCGCCCTGCCTGCGCCCCGAGCATCGCTTGAACGCCTCTGACTCCTCCGCTCCGGACCCGCTTGGGAGAGGCGGGGCTGGGTGCGATTGACAGAGGAAAGAGAACTATGCACATACACCGATTATGGCCAGGCCCATCCTGAGCCCAGGATCGGTGCATACGCCCTGCTACCTTGGCTAGGAAGGTATATGCACCGATCCTGGGTCAAGGATGGGCCTTGCCAGGATCGGTGCATGTGCATAGTTCCCTTCGCCCGAATTGATCCCGGCAGGGCCTCGTACTCCTGCAGGCGGCCCGCGGACTCTTCCAGGTACGCCGCGCGGTCATCGCCCTCCAGGCCGTCGGGGACGTGAAACATTCCGCCCGTGAAGGCCTCGTCCTCCCCGCAGGAGGAGTATGAGGAGGAGGAGGAGGCGGAGGAGGAGGAGGAGGAGGAGGAGGAGGAGGAGGAGGAGGAGGCCGAGGAGGAGGCGGAGGCGGGGGCGGAGGAGGAGGAGAGAGAGAAGGAGAGGGAGAAGGAGAAAGGGAGGAGGAGGAGGAGGAGCAGGAGGAGGAGCAGGAGGAGGAGGAGGAGGCGGATGAGGAGGCCGAGGTCCTCCCCGCGCCGGCACCGCGGCGAGCCCGCGGCAGGGGCAGGCCGGCGACGGGCCCGAGCTGGCGAGACGACGGCCTGCGCGGGTCAGGAGGGGCGGCCTCGGCTGTCGTTCCCGGAGTGGTTGTTGGCTGGCCATTGAGGACGCAGGAGGAGTGTGAGGAGGAGGAGGAGGAGGAGGAGGAGGAGGAGGAGGAGGCCGAGGAGGAGGAGGAGGAGGAGGCGGAGGCGGGGGCGGAGGAGGAGGAAGAGGAGAGAGAGAAGGACAGGGAGAAGGATAAGGAGGAGGAGGAGGAGGAGGAGGAGGCGGGGGGGGAGGAGGAGGAGGAGGAGAGAGAGAAGGAGAGGCAGAAGGAGAGAAGTTAGGAGGAGGAGGAGGAGGAGGAGGAGGAGGAGGCGGATGAGGAGGCCGAGGTCGTTGCCTTGACGTGTCTGCGTCGAGGGCCGATTGCCCATGGAGGCCCGGCCACGCAGGGCCGCCGCCTCCGAAGCCGGAGCCCGGCGCGGGAGCGACGCCTTTGGCGGGCCTCGGCGATGTGGCGCTGTCTTCCCAGCCCGAACTGGCCCGAACAGCAATGCTGGACTTACGTTGTGCCCATCCTTCTTACGGACCGCATCCCAGGAATGATTTCGAGCGCCTGGAAAAACGTCAAAAGAGTGTCGAAACAGTGTCGAAACAGTGCGGGGCGAGTGTCTCCCAGGGCCCGACACGTGAAAACCCTTGAGTTTCGGTATTTGTTGGGGCGCTCGAAATTCTTCCTGGTGATCAAGGCTCAAGTAGCTTAGAGCATCATAAGACCAGACCGCAAAATCGCACCCGCCCTCGCCAGTGGTTAGGTCGGGCCTCTCCCCCTACAGGCCGATCTTGGACGCAACGTAACAAATAGTTGAATCATACTCCGAAATGGTCAACGATAGTGGAAAACCGTCCCCTGACCATGGTTTGACCGTTTTTGGCAATTCCTCCTGTAGAGGGACAGGCCCGACTGAAGCCAATGACCGTCGCGGAAGGTTGTGATCGGGATCGCGGTCCGTGTGGGATCGCGGATCGGGTGCGGGTCGGCCCCGGCAGGGCCCCGAGAGGGCGCTGGCTCGCGACCCCAAGAGCAGGCTTTTGCCACAACCCCGGCAGCCCCGAGGACTCCGAGGGATCCCTACAGTCGGCCTCGATGGGACAGGACACGCGAGAGGGCACAAGACCCTTCCGAGGGCCACATCGCCATGGGAGCGTAAGAAGGCACGCGCCGCGGGGCACAGGACACAAGGGCACCCTTTGAGCTGGCAGGGTCGCCCTACGAATCCCCAAGCCTGGTCGACATTCCATCGAGATCGGGGGTCGAAGGACGCTCGGGCGCCGGATCGGACCGGGTCGCAAGCCGCGCCCCGCCACTGGCGCCCTGCGCGGGGGCGCCAAGGTGGTGGGCGGGGGATGGGGCGCGGCTGGCCAGGCAGCGGGCGCAGAGTGGGTGGGGAGTTGGGACGAGAATTCCGTCACGAACGGCTCAAGAAAGATCCAGGAGCTCTGGAGAATCAAGCGTCCCCCGCCTCTGGAGCCCGTGGAGAGCCATCGGGGAAATCCTGAGAATCCTGGGACGCATCAGTATCATTTGCTCCTCTGAGAGGTAGCTCCCCCTCTTCCTGCCTGCTGCACCTGGGGAAACCTACATTGATGCACCTGGTAACCAGGCCAGTCCCGCGTGAAGAAGGACGGGGGAGGAGGAGGAGGAGGAGGAGGAGGAGGAGGAGGAGGAGGAGGAGGAAGAGGAAGAGGAGGAAAGGAGGAGGAGGAAAAGGAGGAGGAGAAGGAGGAGGGAGAAGGAGGGAGAAGTGAGGGGGGCGGGGGCCCATCGTCGCAATCGACGTTCTCCGCCGCCCTCCCTAGGGCGTCTCTCTCCGCCGCTCCCCTCGGGGAGCCCTGCCCACGTCGCCGCCCCTCGGGGAGCCCGTGCTGCCTGCCCCGTGGACGAGTAAAACGCGGGGGGGAAGGTGGGCGAGGGGGCGGTACGCGCACTGGCGCTTGCACGCGCGCGCCCAGCCACTTGACGGCGAGGCGGGCGTGGCTCCCGGGAGGCCCCTCGAACTGCCCCGCGGGTGCGGGGCTCGGCCCCTCGGAGAGCGGGCACGCGCGCCGGGCCCTCGCCCCGCCTGCCCCTCGCCCTGGAGATCGGCCACGACCCGCCCCGAGTGCGCGCGCCGCGCCCAGGCCAAGGGAGCCGACGACGCACACCTCTGAGAGAGATGCCCACGTCAGCACGGAGGGAACGCTGGAGGACCTGCCCGCGACCGAAGAGCTCGTGGGCGCCAGGGGCAAGAGGAGGCCTCCCTGCGCGTGCGTCTCGAACCAACGGCTCGGCCCGGGTCCGTACGTCTTGTCCTCTGCCCAGCTAGCTCGTAGCTGCGCGGCCGCCACCGGAGCTGCTCACCCTCCTTCTCACACATGCTTCTTCCGCAGCGGTTTCCACTGTGACTCGCACTCCTACTTGTGCTGATACTCCTCGGGGGAGGCATTCACGTGTGACTCGATCGATCTCACCATCCATCTCACTATCCATCTCACTATCGATCTCACTAGTTATCAATCCCTCTGTCGATCTCGCTTTCCTTCTCACTAAATATCGATCTCACGATCGACCTCACGGGACACCGCGGGACACCGCGCCACGAGCCACCACGGACCACCATGGGCCCCCACGGCGCCGTCGTGGCACCACGGCGGGGCACGCCGCGTGCACCGCCCGCCGCGAGAACGGGGTGGGGCGGACTTCTGTCCTCGAGGATGGTGCATCCCTCTCTGAAGGGGCCCTGGGACACACAAATAAATACACGCCCATACAAGGATTCCCCATATTTTCCCATGTTTTCGGGGTCTTCGTCTTCCCCCCCACTGCCCGCATTTTCCCATATCTTCCTGGGAGTCGACGATTAATTGTGTCTGTGTGTGTTGTTCTCCTCCTGACTCTCGCCCGCTCACGCAGTTTCGCTTTGCCCAAACGCGCGACACGAAACCGAAACCGATTTCCGGGTGAGGGGCTCTTTGTTTCACTGCGAGCTCACCCCCAACCTTCGAGCACTGCCACAATTGATGATGCTACTAGCGCACGTTACGGCTTGACGCGCCCCCCGAGCAATCGCCACCGAAAGGGTTGGGCCGGCAAGGGGGCAGGACTCGCCGCAGCCAGCTGGATAGGCTTGGAACGGCAGGATGAACTAGCCGGACCTGGAACGACCCCGAAACAGATCGGACAAGACTGAAAAGGCGGCCAGGGGTGGAGCAGCTGTGAGGGGATTGGTCAGCTGGTCAGGGCTGGAATGGTGAAAGGGCTGGCACCCGCCGCTGCTTCCAGCTTTCCTGTAGCCTCTACCCGTCCCACGCCCCATCCTGATTCTCCCTCCCCCCCTCCCTGCAACCGAGGCTCCCCGAAGCAGCACCGTTTGCCCACGAGCCGCGTGACGAGAAGGGCGCTGATGAAGATCATGATTCCAAGTAGGATCTGCGCGCGCAGGGCTTACCCATGCCATACCCCAAACCTCCTCGCGTCGTGGAGACAAAACCCACGATGGAAGCTTGTCTGCCACTTCCGGCCTAGGGGAAGGGCTACCAGGCCCTGGGGAACGCCGAAAAAACCACTCGAGATGTAGAAACTGGGCCAGGGGGAAGTGGTCCAGACCTCCAGCACGGGAGACGGCCGGGGAGGTCACGGGCGGTGGAGCTTTCCAAGTGGAAAGCGCCACACGCTTCAGGGTCTTCAAACGGTTGTCTTCCAACAAGGCAGTTCCCTCAATGGAAATAAAGCGTTTTAGGGGCCTATGAAGAGGGAGCTTGGAGGGAGGGTTTACTCCAACATCGTTGATAACTCTTGGGTTTGCACTGGTCCTCCTCCTCCTTGTCCTCGTCCTCCTCCTCCTCCTCCTCCTTGTCCTCCTCCTCTCCTTCCCCTCCTCCTCCTCCTCCTCCTCCTCCTCCTCCTCCTTCCCCTCCTCCTACTGCTCATCGTCCGCACCCTCCCTCGTCCTCGCTTCCCTTCCCTTCATCTCCTCCTGTAGTCTCTCCCCCTGCTCCTGATACATACTCCGCATCACCTTCCCCCCGTTGTCTTGGAATCATCCTCCCCCGTCTCCTTGCTAGGCGGCCGATTGCACGGCGGCTCGGCGTGATCCAGCGCCCTGGAGGGCCAGACAGCTCGGCAGCACTGGCGATGGACAAGCAGGAGAGCGGCGAGAAGCAGCCATGAAGAACACAGGGCTAGACGGAAACGAGTCCTGAACACCGGGACCTACAGTCAAGCTGCTGCAATCAGAAAGGAACGCTAAACAAGGAACGAAGCCCTTCTTTGGTACAGAAACCGCCTGGGTGCACGAGGAGGGCTAGAGGAATAACAACGGACTGACCTAAGGAAGGCGAGCCCCTCCCGAACCAAAAGCTGGCCTTGTTTCAGCATCTTGGCTGCACCCCCAGGTCAACCTTGCTTTCTGAGAGGCTTTTAGCTCGTTGAGGGCCCGGGAAGCCCGAACACGGCTCACAAGACCTCACGGTCACACAGCCTCCTCCTTCCTCCTACTCGGTTGCCTCCTCCCTCCTCCTCCTCCTCCTCCTCCTCCTCGTCCTCCTCCTCCTCCTCCTCCTCATCTCCATCCTCCCTCCCCCGCGTCGGCTTCCTCCTCTCCCCTCTCCCTCCTGCTCCTCTTCCATTCTCCTCCTCCTCCTCCTCCTCCTCCTCCATTATGTTTCCTTATACGCAACTTCTTCCCGTCGCACCCCGACGCCGGTCGAAAGAGCGGGCTGGGCGTTTCGCCTGGGACTGCCTCACCATTTCTGACCCTGGAGTTAAACAAATGGCAACGATGTCAAAGATGGAGGGCGGGTCGTCTTCAAAATGCGGCTCTCGCCTGAGCGCCGCGCACATCCGCTTCAAAAATTTGCAAGGGTTTTACGGATTGCGGGCGGGTCGTTTTCAAAATGTGGGTCTCGCCATAGCGCCGCGCACATTCGTTTTAAACATTGGCAATAGTTTCACGGATTGAGGGTGGGTGGTTTTCAACACGTGGCGCTCGCCTTAGCGCAGCACACACCCGTTTTACATGTTTACAGAAGTTTTCTGGACAGAGGGGGGTAGTCAAAATGTTGCTCTCGCCTACGCGCCGCGCACATTCAAAATATTAGCCTGGCGAAGGACCCAACCATATGCAGTTGTGAGTACCGTCTTTGTGAGCAACGCATTCGGTGGGGTTCCCTATAGGGCCACGAAACGCTGCCCTGGGTGCGGGAACCGCATGCGAACACCCCCAGTGGGGCCTTCGGTGGAGCTCCCTATGGGGCCACGAAGCGTGTGATGAGTTTGCCAAAATGGGGCGGCACCGCCATGCGGACTGCGCCTGTGGGACCTTACATGGAGCTCCCTATGGGGCCACGAAGCGTGTGAGGGGTGTGCCAAAATGGGGCGGCGCCGCCATGCGGGCTGCACCACTGGGACCTCAGGTGGAGCTCCCTATGGGGCCACGAAGCGTGTGAGGGGTGTGCCAAAATGGGGCGGCGCCGCCATGCGGGCTGCGCCACTGGGACCTCAGGTGGAGCTCCCTATGGGGCCACGAAACGTGTGAGGGGTGTGCCACAATGGAGCGGCGCCGCCATGCGGGCTGCGCCACTGGGACCTTAGGTGGAACTCCCTATAGGGCCACGAAACGTGTGAGGGGTGTGCCAAAATGGGGCGGCGCCGCCATGCGAGCTGCGCCGAGCTCCCTTTGGGGCCACGGAACGTGTGAGGGGTGTGCCAAAATGGGGCGGCGCCGCCATGCGGGCTGCGCCACTGGGACCTTAGGTGGAGCTCCCTATGGGGCCACGAAGCGTGTGAGGGGTGTGCCAAAATGGGGCGGCGCCGCCATGCGGGCTGCGCCACTGGGACCTTAGGTGGAGCTCCCTATGGGGCCACGAAACGTGTGAGGGGCGTGCCACAATGGGGCGGCGCCGCCATGCGGGCTGCGCCACTGGGACCTTAGGTGGAACTCCCTGTGAGCCACGAAAACTGTGAGGGGTGTGCCGAAACAGAGACATGCGGAGAGCAAAGGCAAGGATGGGGAGGAGGGAGCAGGAGGAGGAGGAGGAGGAAGGAGGAAGGAAGGAAGGAGACGCGGGGCACCGTCTCTTCAAAACGAGGACCCAACACCGCAGTATGGTTGGGAATTGCACGCGTTTCTGATTGAGGGCTGTTGGTTTTCAAACTGTGGCTCTCGCTTTAGCGCCGCGCACATTCGTTGTAAACAGTTGCAGCAAACTTCACGGATTGAGGGCGGGCCGTGTTCACAATGTGTCTCTTGCCGTCGCGCCGCGCACCTTCTTTTTAAACGTTTGCAGAACAGTTCACGGATTCAGGGCGTGTGGTGTTCAAACTGTGGATCTCGCCTTAGCGCCGCGCACATTCGGTAACATTCGCATGAGCTTCACGGATTGAGGGCGGCTCCTGTCCACAATGTGACTCTCGCCTTCGCGCCGCGCACATTCGCTTTAAGCATTGCCAGAGTTTCACGGATTCGCATGGACAACGTACCAGAAAGTGCATGTTGGAAAGATTCAGGACTACAGGGGTGCAGGAGTTACTTTGGTTCGCGGTGTTGAAGTCCCAAGAATGGCAATATTGCACGTTTCATGATCGGCAAGACACTGCAGTCAGGTGGATCCGTAGCGTTAGGAGTCCCGAAGATAATGTTGCGGCCCACTTCAGGGCCTTCAAACGGTTGTCTTCCAGCGAGGCAGTTCCCTCAATGTAAATCAGCCGCTGTAGCGGCCTATGAAGAGGGAGCTTGGAGGAGGGTTTACTCCAACATCGTTGATGACTCTTGGGTTTACACTGGTCCTCTTCCTCCTCCTGTTCCCACAGTTTCCTGCTCCAGCTCCTCCTCCTCCTCCTCCTCCTCCTCCTCCTCATGCTCCTTCCTGCTCTGCCGCATCCCTTCCTCTCTTCATCGACCACATCCTTCCCCCCCCCCGATACCCCTCGTGACTGCCCTGGTGCGAGCAATATCTATATCCACATCCAGGGCGTCTTGGACTTTCGTGGAAGGGGCGCCGCAAAGCCGAGGCGCACTGGATATGGATAAAATTCGAGCCTCTAGTAGGGGCCTGATTTTTATCCATATCCAGTGCTCCTCGGTGTTCTGGAAAAGGGAGCCCGAAACCCCAAGCTGCAGTGGACATGGACACAAGTTTTGCCCGCACCTGGCACGGGGAGGAGAGGAGGCACACCGCCCCGTGCCAAGCGCAGGGATCCGCTGCCCCCTTTGCGCAGGCAGGCGCACGCTCGGGCGCTCGCCGACGGGGGGAGCGGGGAGTTACGAGACGCCCGCCTGTGCAACACCCTTCGAGCCCGCGTGGCAGCTCAGGAGCCGCTTGGGCTTCCCAAAAAGTCGGCGGTGGACAAACCTCCCCTTAGTAAGCCTCCCCTCTGTGAAAACGGCCTGGGACCGAAACCGACGGACCTGGACCCGCAAAAATGACGGCCGCAACGCCCTCTCGCGAACCGAAAACGGCCAATTCTCTAATCGACGTGTCATGGTAGGAGGTCTATCCACCTCCGAAAGCCACCTTTCTGAAATCCGGCCAACCCCATTGCCCCCTGCAAGCGAGCGCCTGACAAGTCTGCACCAAGCCCCCCATGACAATCCTGATCTCGGCTTCTCCAAAACCTGGAGTGCGAGGCGGGGACTTTTGCCCACAATCACCGACTGGGCAGCCGATGTCCTGGGACCCCAAGGGGCGGTGGATATGGATATGGATATGGATATGGATATGGATATGCATATGGATATATATATATATATATATATATATACTAGAACCACGCGCGCGCTTCGCGCGCGCTTAGGTTCTAGTTTGCTCCGAAAACGGTGTTCGCAAGCACGGGTCCGATTCCGTGGCGATTCCGTGGCGATTCGCGGCAAGGAGGCGGAGGAGGAGGAGGAGGTCCTCCTCCTCCCCCCTCCTTGTGCTCAGCTCCCCCTCCTCCTCCTCTTCTTCCTCCTCCTCCCATCCTCCTCCTCCTCCTCCTCCTCCTTCTCCGCCTCCTCCTCCTTCCTCCTCCTCCCTCCTCCCTTCCTCCTCCTCCTCCGCCTCCTCCTCCTCCTCCTCCTCCTCTTCCTCCTCCCTCCTCCTCCTCTTCCTCCTCCTCTCTCCCCGTCCTCCCCCTCCCTCCTGCTCCTCATCCCTCCTCCTCCCACCGTCCCGGCAGACTCCATGCATTGACGTTCGTGCGAGGCCTCATTCCCAAGCTTGTCTTGGGGCGCCCTTGGGCGCCTCTTGGGGCTTTTGGAATAAGTTGGATACGTGGTACGAAAGGAATGGAGTAAGTTTTGGCTCCCGGGGCCCTTTTGGAAGGCCTCTTGGAGCCTTCTTGGGGCGTCTTGACGGCCTCGTGGCCCTTCTGGAGGCCATGTTGGGCCGTATCGGAGCGTTCCGGGGGCCCTCTCGGGGCGACCGGGAAGTCTCTTGGGCCATCTTGGG